CAGGATGGTCTCGATCTCTTGACCTTGTGATCCACCCGCCTCGGCCTCCCAAAGTGCTGGGATTACAGGCTTGAGCCACCGCGCCCGGCCTCAAACTTTGCCTAATTTTCTAACCAGAAGTGGGCACAGTACTTAGTTTCCTTGTCTCATGCAGAACTTTACAGTCTACTTATTTATGTTGTATTTAAGCCTGTCCCTGATCCCATGTCAACAAGATTGACGCAGGGCTCCCATTCACCTTTAATAAGCTCATAAAACAGGTAACGGCAAACTTGAGAGGAAACAGAGCTAGAGGGGAGGAGCGGCCCGAAACACGGATATCCCAGCAATGGAGGCGAAAAGGGGCAGAGGTCAGTTCAGTCAGGTCCACTCTGGGAGCAGTCAGCTCCCCAAGCAGCTTGCCCTCTCCATATACTCCTAGCCTGCCTTCTCCCTTTTGCTTGGCAAAAGCCATAGTTTATAAATTATTTTCCTCTGTAAAATTAGTGACTTGAAATTCTAGTCAAAAAAAAAAACTCCACTTAAATAAGCACACCACCCATGCCACACAGGTAACAGTGATCATGCCTGGAAAATTTGCATGCGTGCCTGTGTGTGTGTGTGTGTGTGTGTGTGTGTGTGTGTGTGTGTCTGGCAGTGGGAGGGGAAGAAGAGGAGAAAGTATTCTAGAGGAGAGACCTTATATACTTTGGGACTGCTTGGATTTTTTCCCCAATTAGCTAGTGCTTTTGATTTCTGGAGTCAGGGTCTTGCTCTGTCACCTAGACTGAAGTGAAGTGGAGAGATCATAGCTCGCTGCAGCCTCAAACTCCAGGCTCAGCTAGGCACTGTGGCTCATGCCTGTAGTCCCAGTACTTTGGGAGGCTGAGCAGGTGGATCACATGAGGTCAGTGTTAGGGACGAGCTGTGCTGCCTCAGAAAACCCCTCCACGCAGGCTGATCCCAGCCCCCTCTGATTGCCCTGCAGCTGCACTCCTGAACTCCTAACTAGGCACCACATCAAGTCTGCCAGATGTGTGGCAACTAAGCAAAATCTGATTACAGCCATCTGGGTAGCTCAAGGGAGGACAGGGAAAACACATGTTGGTTATCCATACTTGTAAATTCCTGTTTGACACATATCTGTAAAAAAATCCTGGTTTCTGTCTTATTTTTTAAAGACTGCCGCCACAAAAGTCATAGAATGACGTATTGTAGGTCTGTTGCAAGGTAACAAACTATCTCTGTGCCTGTTACCTGAAACGCCCCCTTTATGCCCCTCTCACCCTATATAAGCCCCTCATTTTGTAAGCTCAGGGCTGCCTCCTCTGATTGTTATGGAGTAGCCCGGCAGCTGAATAAAACTTTCTTGCCTGATTTTGGGTCTATTCTCCTTTCTCTCGGCTACCCTTTACCCTGTAAAGTCAGGAGTTCAAGACCAGCCTGGTCAACATGGTGAAACCCTGTCTCTACTAAAAATACAAAAATTAGCCGGGTGTGGTGGCACACACCTGAAATCCCAGCTGTTTGGGAGGCTAAGGCAGGAGAATTGCTTGAACCCAGAAGCTGGAGGTTGCAGTGAGCTCAGATCGTGCCGTTGCACTCCAGCCTGGGTGATAGAATGAGACTGTCTTGAAGAAAAAATATATATAAGCAAGCAAATTTAAAAAAACAAACCTCCCAAGTTCAATGGATTCTTCCACCTTGGCCTCCCAAAGTGCTGGGATTACAGGTGTGAACCGCTGTGTACAGCCCCACAATTTTTTTTAGTCAATAAAAATGTTTGAAGAGTAGCTGTTCTCTGCCTTAAAAATAACAAACCCATACTGAGTACCTTCTCATCCTTGACTTTCCCTTGCCCAAATCCTAGACTCCTGCCCTAAGGTCCTACCATGAATTTTAATTGTTGCTTTGAATCCTTTACAAGCATTGTGATTCATACAGTTCTATTTATCTGACTTTTAAAAGGTCAGTGATTAACCCAGCAATGGCCCAAGGTCAGGCCTTCCCTCAGGGAGGAACATGTCATAAAACCAGGATTTCCTGGAATGGCTTAAACTGGAAGTATTCTTTAGTGATAAGGAAGGAGAGGCAGATTACAACGGGGGAGACAACAGAAAGAAAGGGAAAAAACTAAGTAAAGGCAGAAGGAAGAGAAGCGACTAGGCATTGCCTTGAGTCTGGTCTTCATCTGCTCTGGGCAGGGCAGGCAACCGTGAGTTAACTGGTAATGATCAACCTGAAAAACAAAGTACATTAAAAATGAGCTCTGGTTGGAGTAATCCCAGCACTCTGGGAGGCTGAGGGGGAGTGGATCACCTGAGGTCAGGACTTCAAGACCAACCTGGCCAACATGGTGAAACCCCATCTCTACTAAAAATATAAAAATTAGCCGATGTGGTGGCACATGCCCATAATTCCAGCTACTTGGGAGGCTGAGGCAGGAGAATTGCTTAAACATGGGAGGCGGAGATTGCAATGAGCCGAGACTGTGCCACTGCACCCCAGCCTGGGTGACAAAGCGAGATTCTGTTTCAAAAAAAACAAGACAAAATAAAACCAAAAAAAAAAAAACAAGCTTAATTCAATGGGGAAAAGACAGTCTTTTCAACAAATGGTGTCAGAAAAACTAGGTATCCACATGGAAGAGAATGAAGGTGAACTTTTACCTGACATCATGAAAAAAAATTAACTCAGAAAAGATCAAAGACTTAACCCCGTCTCTACTAAAAATACAAAAATTAGCTGGGTGTGGTGGTATGTGCCTATAATCCGAGCCACTAGGGGAGCTGAGGCAGGAGGATCACTTGAACCTGGGAAGCAGAGGTTGCAGTGAGCCAAGATCATGCCACTGCACTCCAGCCTGGGAAACAGAGTGAGACTTCATCTCGGAAAAAAAAAATAAATAAATTTTAAAAAATAAATAAAAGAAAGCAGAAGGCGCCGGGTGCAGTGGCTCACACCTGTAATCCTAGCACTTTGGGAGGCTGAGACTGAGGCCAAGGTGGGTGGATCACTGAGGTGAGGAGTTCAAGACCAGCCTGGGCATCAGGGTGAA